AGTAAAGCCCGCCTAACACGTTGATGTTCCAATTGCAGGCACCATTTTCGGTACCCTGAAACCGGTTCAGTGTTAGATTGTCAAGTTTTTACTCCTTTACTTGTTTTATGTGTTCTGCAGTTGTCGTTTCACCAACCGCTTTATAAAGAGTCTTTAATGAAGACGAGGAAAATCACAATGTGCTACGTTAGATGTCTACTAATTCTTTCCTCTCTAATTTAATTAACCTAAACTTACGCAACAGCTGCTGTTTAATTGCGGTACAGTTCACCTGTTGTACCACAAACTTTACCTGCTTCTGAGACAGTTCATGGGATCGTTACGCTCCTTGAAAATAAGTGGAGCACACCGCTGACTAACAGGTGGGATAATTATATTTGCAATTATTCGCACCGTCCATCATTGTCTCTACGGAATGTGCGTTTCGAGGAAATATTTTCTGTGTTTGTAATTTGGGCCCGAATTTTCTATGTACGTGCAAGAAGGCTGCTCAATAAGGGTTGGTCATTAGGAATCGGAATTTCAGGGATCTAAGACATAAGTTGAAAAATGTCAACCTATGTCTTGCAACTGCTATCCCTTTTTCGCCATTGACTTGCAACTTTCGAAAAAGGATCGCGGCAATGTATTAAATTTTGTCATTATTTTCGGTGCTGATTAAGAAAACCTAACATTATTATAATAAATGACTATGACGCCCCCTCCCCCCTCTCTCGTCTACCTCCCCGACCTTTCTTGGCAAGACTAATGGCGACCCAAAGCCTTATATTATTAAAACCTCAAGAGTTTTCTGGAGACTAATGTTACGTAGGACCCGCGCCGGTTTTCTTGGGTATTTAACGTTTTACAGTGCATACTTTCGTAGTTTTAATATTATTTTAAAGATTTAAGTTGTTCTATGATGGCTAAAAGGACTCACTTGCTCGATAATCACCCTAAATATTATGAATATTTATATCCATAAATATTTTACACCTGAGCTTAACCGCAATGTTGCACAAAGCTTTAAGTTTAGGGTCGCTTTACTAACGCAGCCGGAATCACTTAGATACTCTTCTAGTATGACTATACACAGTGGCCTAAATTCCTTATAATCACTCACTACTTCATATTTTGTAAATAAAGGTCACGAATTGTCGAGTTAAAGATTATTAGATGATTCTTAGTCTCCCATAATTATGATTGAGCACCGCTGTTATAGTTTAACTTATGTGTGGACTTTGGAGTAGCAAATCTTAGATGTTTTGTAACTTCTTCGAGTATAAGCAAAGTATCTAATTAATAACATCGGGCTGTACTTTCATTAGTCGTTGTTTCCACAATGCCAAACTTATAAAAACAACCAATGACTTATACCACAGACATTACAACACCTGCAATGGTTTACTACAGAACTTAGTCTTTATTCAGAACTTAGTCTTTGTTTTCAAAACACTAAAACAGGACCCAATGGATTGCCTAGTGTTCTCCAGTTTAAACGAGGTAGATCTTTGGTATGCGTATAGAAAATATATGAGGCTACAAAGTGACATTTCGAAGTTTTGATGACCTGTATTATCACTGAACTTTGTTTGTAAGAGCCGTTACAAGTAGTATATGCGCACTCAACTGTGTTACTGTAAGAGCTTGACTAAGTAGTATATCAAGGATTGGTTAAGTTTGGGTGGGATTAAGGCTGCTTTAATTTTTGGAGGGAAAATAAAGCTCAAAAGCTTCGGTTAGTGGGGAAAGTTGGAGAATGATAAAGTTAAATGCAGTATCTCTGTAAGTGGGAACATGGGAAACCTACGCAAATGTAAGATCTGCAACGTCATGGTTCAATAAGTCTCAACATTCCGGTCCCTTTGTCAACATTTTGCTTTATCAACATTTTGTCGACTACATGATGTTGCTCTACCACTTTGACTTATGTCCCTTAAGCGCTTTTAACTACCGTTCACCGAACCTTGACTGCGGCTTTGTTAACAAGGTTCGGCCGGTAGAGGGTCCACAGTAGTCCCATAACCTTAGTATTGCTGTACAACTACTACATTTTGTCTAAATATCATAGTTTGTTTTGTTTATCCTGTAGCTCGATTATAACATACCACACAACTAAAGTCACGCCAGTAGAATATAGAGACCTTCTCACGAGATATTGTTAACACTTAACTGTAATGAAGTCTGAAAGATCGGTTTTGATGAGCATAACGTCACTTTCTATGAAACGATATAAATAAATAAATTGTAACATTTACTACACGCTTTGCATATACCCTACGAAGATGCACATATAACTGTCATTCAAGCGAGATATAGTATGGAAATAATAAATAATAAAATTATGCACTTTTAACGAATCAGTTGAATTATATAGCTTCATTTTGGACTCTTCTCAAGTTTAGCTTCTGAATGGCGCCGGTCCAAAGAATACATGTCATATCTTACATTTCCAGTCATTCTTGCAAGTCGCCGATGTCGTCGCCGCAATATAAAATTGTGAATGACTTGTTAGCATCAATAAAAAAGTGTTCCTTAATTGGGAATTTTTCTAATGACGAGGGTCTACATACTTATAATCGCTTATCTGCTGTCAATTAAATATACTCTGCACTCTAATTACCCATGCTCTTACGTTGTAATTATAAGATAATTGTTTTAAAATTGTGAAGTAAGTTTAAGTAAGTATTGTATTGTATTTGATTCCATTATGGAGTAGGTGGTCTCCCGCACCTTTTCCGCCTCGACATAGTGACAAAACGTAGGCATGCAACTTGCAAGGTTGATTACAGCCCTTAAGGAAGACTATAAGATCTTTATTTTCCTACAATTAATGATGCATAGCGATAACTTGTAAATCCCAGAAGTACGACTTCTTAAAATACAACATATTTTAACTAATAGAACTGGAAGTAATATGCTACGTAATTAGTTATGTGACTTAACTTAAGTCTTCTCGAGAAAGATGTAAAAAACAGAGGTTAATGGAGATTAAAAAGAGATCACTCTTAAGAATGGTTATTTTAATCGCCATGTGGCAGGCGATCAGCTGCAAGATAAGCACATAATTACGGGTCTAAGCACTAGCACACTCGGTTATGGAAGTGTGAAACGGTCCGGTAGTCAACTGGTTCTTAGAACCAGTGGTTCTATAAGATATCTATATAATTAAGTAAGTACAGGCAGTTTATATAACTGCATCCTGTAGACTGAGTTATCATACACTTTGAAACTGTCTGATATCATTATAATTATATAATTTATTCGACCGAAAGTTATCATCACCCACTTACCGTGCCTTTGAGCTAATATCTCTCTGTAGTCTGAGCTTAATTTTTAATTTTGCATTCCTTTAATTCTTTCGCTTATCAGTTTATTCTCTATCGTTTATGAATATATTATTGTGTCTACCTGGTGTGCCCCCCCCCCCCCCCCTTTCAAATTGAATAATTGTCCCAAAATTGACAGTTACTCAAATTAGATCTGCCCCAACGTTTCCTAGTCTGAAATCACATACTAACATGTCCATTGTCCAAGTTAAGCACTTGTGCTGTCCACAGTGCATCATGTCAGTCTTTTCGACCAAGGAGCTAAATGTGCTACTTCAGTAATAAAATTTACTTAACAACGAGCTATGCCAAGGAGGGACAAAAAAAAATCGCGATTATTTTGCCCAAAAATCGCGATACCGCGATTTTTAACAGACTTTACATAAGACTATACATAAAATTTGTCGCAAATAATGGGCAAAATCGCGATTCCGCACATGCCGCGATTTCCTTTTGTCCCTGATGCCAAGCTATAATGGTCTGGTCCATATTTAACTAAGAATATAGTGATGTTCATGACTCGACTGATGAGTCAGGCAGCTGCAGACTTCCATCACTAGTGTCCCAAACCATGTATTAATCTGGTGGGCGACAACACCCAGAACTATAATAAGAGGACCAGTAATTAGGGCTGCTAGTAAGGGTCTGTTACCGGTGCTTATTATTTACCTCCAGGTAAATTGTTGGTATTATGGTGGACGTGAGAGTATTCCGAAGACTCAGAACTTTCAGTAGGGCCATTAGTCTCCAGGCATCAGAAGGAAAATGAGGCATTTTTCATTTGTATCTCTATATTGCCTCACTAACTTTATCTTAAAATCAACTTACTAACTATATCTAGGTATGAGCCAATACTAGGTACGAGACCGGTGGCATTTCACTGAAATTAAAACTTTAAAGATTCGGGCCTACTGTTACTATTAGTTACTATTGGTTACTATGGTAACTACACTGTTACTATCGTTATTACCCTGACTATCGAATCTCTAAGCTACTGATTCCCAGTACGTGTATGTTGACCGGTGGTATGTTAACAGATCCCAGTCTACTGGAGAACTGGTACTGGAATAATGAACTGGTTCTCAAAATCCTGTAACTGGTATAAACTCCTCACCAGTCCTCTATAAACTAACTCCAGCCGCTACAAGAAACTCTAGCCTATTGACAGTGGTGTTGGTGGTATATTTCTAGCATTCAACGTGGGCTAAATATTATTTAATACCTGGTTAATGTAGGGCAGCAAGATTGTGTTATGTGCTCGACAAAATGTTCAATACAGTACTATTTTATTATCTTAGTCACGTTGTACCCCCAGTATTATCACTAGTCAGTAGTCCAAATAATCGAAAATGCAGCTGTTTTAGACTTTAATTATAACAGGCCTCTCCGCGACGGCCACGGTAAGGTTGATAATTTTGTTTTATTTTTACGGTTTGTTGTGGAGTGCTGGTACGGTGGTGGGTACGAAGCAGTAAATAAAATATCACTAATTAGCGTTTTTGTTTCTGTCCGGTGCGACATATTCCGTCAAGAGGGCCGAAAAACATGATGATAGTTGTAAAAGTGATTTACTTTCTCCCCTCTAAATGTAGATATTTAACCAACGTTCCACTTGTACACTTAGCAGCGTTTGGTTGTGTTACTATTTTATTCGAGTACATTACAATTATTTTATGTTAATTTTCTTGATATCATGAAGTTATATTATTGACCGAAATTAATCATGAAGTTTGCAAGAATTGTACAGATCTAACCAAATTCCCACAAAGATTAGCGATTAGAAACATGGGTAATCAGACGGTGGCTCAACACTACAACCATCGAGTAGACATGCTTCTGGGACTAACTCTCTTCGCTATGGCCCTATTTGGGTAGGTGAAATTTGCCAGTTCTTTTAGAGTAAGTAGTATAAACTATAGTAGATAATAGCAGAAGAAATTCTCGTATACGCAATTATATTATGTAAAATCCGGATTGGAATATTATTTATGAGTCGCATAGTTGAAATGTTTTCTTGTGTAAATTTCTATTTTTAATACTTTCAACCATTCTATATAACAAATAATTTGAGCTCATGAATACGATGTTGTCACATTGAAACGTTAAATAATTCCTTTCCTGATAAGAGCCTTTTCCTTGTCGCACCAAATAAAACGGGATCAATAGAAATTTACCCAAGAAAACAAGCAATTATAATACACATACAAATATGTTACTGCTTTTAAAAACCCTACATCTCAGGCTGTTCGGTAACGGATTCGTCCTGTACGTGCTGGCGAGGAAGCTGAAGCGCCGCATCAACTACCTTACAACTCTAGTGCTCTTTCAATTGGCTCTGACCGATTTCATCGGAGTGATCCCGACCTCCTTCATCGGATACTGTCTCCTTCAGGGCAGGGACTTCCCGTCCCCAACCACCACTGTCACCATCATTGAGAACGTTATAGGTTGGTTGGGCATAGCCATGCCTCTTGCTTCCATCTACATCGTCACTATCCTGAGCTTTGGGCGCTGCATCGCCATATACCGGTCCTTCGACTATCCAGTGGTGATGTCAGAGAGAAACAGCTCTATAATGTGCTCAGCAGCGTGGCTGCTGGCTTTTGCAGTGGCCTGTTTGCCGTACTACGGCGGCTACCAGTACGTGTACGACCCTCACATCTGCTTCATGTACACCAGCCTCAGCAAAACCTTCCCCAACTTCTCCGAGTACCAGCTCCACGTGGTGTACATTGTGATAAACGTCTTGCTGGTCATCCTGCCCGCCCTCTTTATGATATCCTGCTGTGCTGCTGTCATCATTCGACTCAAGATCAAGGCTCACAAGGCCTCTATGGAGGACAACAAGGATGCAGCAATGGCCCATGCTGCGAATACCGTTCTACTCATAACGGTAGCTTTCATAGTGTGTTACGGTCCTTACTTTATCAACACCCTCATCAACCTCCTGGGTCGCTTCGACGCTATCGATAAGGACTGGATGATGGTTAACCTGGGGCTACAGCCCTTTGTGTACGTCACAATAGTGGTGCACTTCCTCTGCATTGCCCTCAACAGCTGCATCAACCCCTGCATCTACTACCTCAGAGCTAAAAAGTTCAGAGAGGACATGGCCCTGTCCGTCCGGAGGAAGATCAAGAGGTTCTCAACCAGCTTCACCAGGATGAGCAGCTTCAACATGACCTCCACTAGAGGTGACGGCGGTACTTCCCCAATCCACTTCAACGGTGAGAGAAGGTACACGACTGCTTTAAAGATGAGCAATGGAAACGGTAAAGTTCTATACCGTCAGCTCACTACGGAAATGAGACCTCCCTCTATAGGCATGCAAGAGACCAAACATTGAGGAGATCCTTTACAGGACAGTAAACCTGTTACTAGTTACCCCGATTTGACTGGTTCTAAGAAGTTGTGTTAAAGCCAAAATAACGTCAGCAGACAGAGGTAGAGACTCGAGAGTGACGGAATAAAGACCGAGTTGTGCGGGATTTAGTCAATGCTAACGTTGGAGGAAGGATGTTGAAAATAAAAGACTTGAGTTTCAGACTTTTGTTTAATTCCCTAACAGACTCCTTTTTCCCTCGATCATTGATATTTGTGCTAATTTAAGTCTTCGAATTATGATGAACATTAGTCGATGATGATACATATTGTGAGATTTAGAACGCTGTAAACATAGGTAGCTATATAATCTAGATACATATCTTTTAGTTATATCACGAATGCCCCACGATTTCAACACTGCCTAAGAAAATCTTTGAATTAAACGTCCACTAAATGACAACTGTGCTGGCATGAACTCATGTGGCTATCATAAAACTTGTGGGAATTATTTTGGTATTGTATGTTGCTGTTTGCTTAGAAAGAGATCTAAACATTTTGTGAATAAAATTGTGTTTTTCTGAGATTTTGTTTGGATGCCATGAATTATGAATGTCAACTTTCAAAATTAAAAATATTAAAACTTCAGCCCCAACTCATCATGCGATGCAATTATCTCTCTATCTTACCTTGATGATGACTCTGTGATCGGAATTCTCCACCAAAGCTTTGGTATCAGCGTCGTACCCGTCCACCTGTACGGGAACTGTATTATTGCTGGGTAATAATATTCGGTTACTTACGAGGGAACTGCAACATTTTAACAACTTTGACTCTGCCTTGCCAGTCGCAAATAGGTACATAATGCCACTTTAAAGGATAACATAATGTTAAATAAACATTTTTTTCCGATCCTCCTTCCTCGAGCAGGATAACAGAAAATGGCTTGGTTAAATTAATTGAAAAATTAGAGCAACCAGACAAGACGGGCATTTAAAATCTAGCAGATCGAAAAAGTTTCCAAATTAAACCCTTCTTTAAAATGGGAGATTTTCATACATGAAAGTAGAAAACACGAGACAAAATTTCGGTCATAAAAAAACAGAGTCGACCATTAGTGATTAGGTGTGCCATGGTCGTTCGATAATTCTACATTCTATCGCTCAATATGCTAACTATTCAACTAAAAAAGGCCTACCTGAGTTTGTATAATGTTGGCTATGACTGGAACGAAAGCTCCGGGGATCTCTAAGTCATCTACCAGTATCTCCGAGAACTGCACTGGAGTTAAATTCTTTTCTGAAAGTACAGCTTGATGAGCATTAATAACTTTTCAAATTCAGCCGGACTAAATTATGACGATTGTGTAAATTTGTGTTGCTATAAACAGAGAGATACATCGAATAAATTATATTCTCACTGCCGAGGGTGATCTTTATTTACCATTTTTATTCCAAGTTAGAGTATCGCGAAGTCTGTGTCCTTCGAGGTCGATATCCAGTCTGATTGGAACCAGATACTCGTCTAACTTAGCGGCTTCGTGCATCGCGCCTTCATCAATATCGTTACTGGAGAGTATTTTATATTATCGACGAGATAAACGCCATTGTTGGACGTGAGGGGAGCGAGGACTCCTCAAACTCAAATATGATATGTTATGATTACGTTGTGTGGAGTGTTTTACATTTTAATCGGCTGTATCTTCGGTTGGTATGAATATTTTTCGATGAAATAAAGACTTATTTTCAAAGAATGCTTTTAGCTTCCTTCCTTTGACCACGATCTTTCTAGTACGATATAAAAACATTAGTACTATTTAAAAACATTATGATATCGATAAAAATCTCACATGATGGGACTGCTGCGAACACGTTTAGTGAGGAATCTAGATCTGCTGACAGGAGTGGCTGTAGGCACAGCGTCCAGATGGTGGGACTGAGTCGCAGGAACAGTCTGGGGGATCCAACCCGGCTGGGGCCGTGCTCCTCTCGACCTTCTAGATGGTGTCGAGTTGTCGTCTTTCTGGAGGGTTTGAGAATAGTGAATCGGTAATAACCGCAAAAATAGATTCAAATATCTTTCGAGACATCAAGAACCTTGAATTGAGATTAAGATTATGTTGTGCGTGTACTTCATATGCGTTTTCAAATGCTGCAGCTTAAAAGCACATCACGAAAGTGTACAGTATAATACATTTCCATTGCAGTTGATCTGATTTACAGAGGGAGGGTTGTTAAATTCTACAGGATTGGATCGGATCGAAAAGGAAGCGTCGTTTGCGCGGAGAAGATATGCAAAAAAGCGTTCGGCGTTCGCGCGCGCGTTACAACCGCGAAATCCGAACAAAAGGTCACCACCAAGTCTTGATCCTGGAGATAGAATGAACATAAATTTAAACACTAACGTGGTCTTGGCCTTTTGCTGCTGCCAGAGCTTTGTTGTGATCAAATTTGTACTGAAAATAAAACCAGGGTTATCAACGTGGCTTGTCACTAACAAGGATGTAATTTGTGTTGGAACACCAAACTATGTGAAACTTTGAAAACGACAGAAAAGTTGCCGAACTTCATTAAATCATGACAATATGAGTAAAAGGTTAAATAAACCAGTCAATTTTCCATCAAAAAATGAACGATAAACAGGGTTGCAGTGCTTATATTTTCACTGCTCGGGAAATAGCAAATAATAGCATTGACGGTTAATATTCATAAAGTGGGCCAAACTCTCACCTTTTCATCTAAACCATCAATAACATCATCTATTTCTAGCCCTTTTACTAGCGTGATATTGTTGGTGCTTTGGGCAGATATTATCCCCTGTGCTTCTATTCTCTTACGTTCATCAAATGTGGCCTGTTTCCTCCATAACCCCGGGTATCTGTTTAATGAAGCAGAGTTTGTATTAAAATAATCTACATAATACTACTTACTTTGCTTACACTACAGATGTACTGAATAGAACATTCTCCATCTTTTAGATACCTTCTTAATATGCACACGAGAGATGGCACAACGAGACTAACCAGGCACTTTAAAGCGATAATTTTACAGAGCTTTATGTTTCTGAGTAGGGTTATTATTTAATTTTAAGGCTTTCTTTTTGAAACAATTTGTACTGTAAAAACGACACGGAACTGTGTCAGAATAATTCGTATTATAGTTAACCGAACGCAGAAACCGTTCTTAACCCAGACATACTTTCTGTATAGCAATCCACGTGTCATCTTAAGGTGAGCTCCCACTTCACTTCCTATCATGAAGAAGTCGCCTGAGTCGTCTATTGCAAATCTCTCTGGTTTACGACCCGTGGTACTGAGAGGTTCGTCTCGCTCATCTTTATCTTTAGCTCTACCCATCTCTTATTAACGTGGAGGGAGATTAACTTTGTGTATTTGAATTTAGAGCTTTCAGTTCAATTTTATTGTTATTTTGTTCATGCCATGATCCCCGAATGGTACTCTGATTTTGCTGAGGGATAACCCAAGGCATAATTTGGTAGTTCAATCAGATTTACAAATCATATCAGAGAATTCAAACTGGCCATGGCATGAACATTTAAATGAAATGAGACACTTTGTTTTCAGAACACCAACATTCAGATCACACATTAAGATCAGCGGAGTAAAACGCAGGAAACTGCAAATGTCTGAAAAATGCAATCTCTAAAAAAGGTTAACACAAGACAATAAAAAAGAGCTCTTCACTTCGCAACATTTTATATCATACGACTTCCCATTCCCGACTAAAAAATGTTTTCTTGCCCTTAACTCATAGATATATTATGAGCAGTTTACACATTTCCCAAACCGTGAAATCTAAACCGTAAAATGTCGAGAAGTAAAAATTATGTTCCACTACAAAAAACAGCTGTAAATACAATTCAATACTATAACTATTGTGACACATTTGTAATCTTTGAACTGTAAAAATGGATGATCCATAAGAATCCAAGGACTAAATAGTATATTAATTTATGCCATTAAATAGGTTTAAAAACGAGCAAGTAATATTATTAAATAAGTTATCAATCGAAATATAGATCTGTTTGTTTGTTTGTGGGGCACCCACCCACTCTACCTCAATACCTAAGTAAGAAGGCTACGTTCACCTACAGCAATAAAATATAGGCCAAATAGTGCACTATAGAACGCTCTAACATGTTAACCACGTGGTCATAATCTTAAAGTCGGACCTGTGTCCTTTACGTTGTAATGACTATATAACCATTATATATAATCAAACAAATACAATCAGCTAAATAAATATGGAGATCGACCAATTATTTGCCTATTTTCCGCATAATGACCTTTAAATTAATTAGGTCCTTTACTAATTCAGAAATAAACCAAACATATGCAGAAAAAGCTGAAAACATGTTTTATAATATGCATTTGAAATACTATAATATTTCAGATTGGTCGCCATTGTAAAGGCACTAAACATCATCTAATCTCAACACAAAATATAGTTTTTCTTTGTATAATAACAATATAATAATTTGTTACTTGATTCCAGTCTAGATTTTCAAATACAGCTGTAACCTGTAATCTAATCTTTATTATAAAGTGAAGCCGTTATCACGATTCAAATCCAAATTTAACTTAATCGATATAGTGCAAATACCATAGCAATCATAGCTGCAATAGAGATTTATCATTGAACCACCCCGAATAATAAGCGATAATTATTTGATTGCAGGAGCACAATAATTTAAACTTTAATGAAACCCCGATTTACCGTATGGTATATGAAAGGAAAATAGTACGGTTAATGGGAATATACGGAAGATCGAAGTTTTGATTTTCGAGTCAGGTCACATAGTTTCTGTCTGCAAAATATTTGTTTCCAGACAGATATGAAAAGACAAACATGTCGAGTTGGGTCAAAAACTTGAACTGTTTTTCTTAGGTCCGTCCTCTTCAAAAATATTTAGCTGTGTTATACTTCATTTCCATAGAAAACATCAAACATGAAAAACACATGAAAATCGACACAATCTTTTTGTATAGAGAATTGCCAGTAATCGACGATTACTGGAAATGCGGAAAGTTGTAGATAAAAGATAGTGATGTTTTACGAAGCCCTTTATTTCTAGCTTTAGAAAATATTTCTAATAATAAGTAATCCCAATTAAACGTCAACTTTAATCAGCAACAATCAGGAACAAATTACACGTTTAAAGGCTGAAAGTTCAAACAACGTCTCCACCAAATCAATGTTTCAATTCTTACCATTTATACACTGAACACTCTAAAATCTACAATAAAAACTCAGAACAATCACAAGCTAAGTCAACACAAGTTAACAATACCTCAACCTAAACCGTAGTACTAAGTTTACAATGATTTTCAGGGTTGGGAGCTGGCTGGGGAGGACTAGGTTGAAGCTGGGGAGTGGAGGAGGACTGATCGTAGAGAGGGTGTCCCTCCTGTCCCACTGTATCCACGCTCCTCTCCTGCTCCTCCCAACGCAGCATGTTCAGTACAAAGTGTCTGAACCTACTGTTCGTTGCTACGTAAATAAAGGGGTTTATGATCACGTGCACTGATTTAGCGTATGTTTGGAAGAGGCCGAACCAAATGGGCACAGACTGGCCGGACGATTTAAGGATGATCATGACGAAGATAGGGGCGTACGAGATGAGGAAGGCCCAGCAGATCAGATTGACTGTGATGATGGAGCGAATGTGAGGCATGACGGAGACTCCTACTGATAGAGTATGGATACAGATAGTGTGCATTATCTTCACACTTGTGAAGAAGACTATAATCATGGGAACAGCCACGAATATGATAGTGAACACCTTGGTAGAGGTGTACAGAGCTTTACCAGCAGTGGGGATATGGTTGGAGGAAGTGCAGATGAGGATCCGAGGGGAGAATGTAGCGTAGGCTCCAGCAACTGCCCAGTAAAGCACGGGTATGGTTACCAGGACCCAGATAAATGATATCAGCACCTTAACGTGGGTCACAGTCACCAGCTTTCTACGTTCTGGAGGCTTCTTCAAGACCCATACTCGGTATATAGCAATGGACATGATGACGAGGATCTCCGCGAGGAAGGGGATGTGCGAGCCGAAGAAGCCCACGAACCAGCACAAGCCAGGTCCGAACATCCACTGTCCGAACACTAGGGTTACCATCATGGGGAAGTAGTAGAGAAGGGAAATGAGCATGTCAGCTAGTGCTAGGTTCTCTATGAAGACCAGTGTCGTGTCATCCATTGAGATTGCCCCTGAAACATTGGAATTAGTTATACAATATTTAACAAATTACAAAGTAACCTCATCAAGATAACTTCAGCAACAATTAGTAATTGTTTTCTGACTTAATTTTAACTTTTCAAATAAAAAATAAAATTAGATTACTGAAATATTTCAATTAGTCTGACAGTAATAAATCCTACCACTGACCATGTCTAACAGAGCAGTAGAGGACACACAAGTTACCGAACAGCCCTATGATAATGACAAGGAAGTTGTAAATTCCCAGGAGAAGTTTAGCAGTCAGGGTCAGGGTCAGAACTGGTGGTGACATGGTGGCCGGGTTTTAGACCCTGCAGCTGCATCAAACCATCTTTACACGGAAAATGTGAGGTTAGAAAATATTGTTTGAATATTAATGAATAAATACTGAGTTAGAATTCAATTTTATCTAGTAAAAAACAATGCTACTAGCCTAATTTTTGTACTTGGTCGAGCGTCGCGTCGGTAACCCAATCAGCTTTCAGATTTTCAAGAGTTCAAGGCGATCAAATAAATTAAGACTACAACCATACAAACGCATCCTTATAATAATACCAAGACACAACCTTTATACACCCTCATATGCCAGGTTGCGAGACCTAATAATCTAATCTTCTTGCTACGACACAACACAGAGAAACCTCCTTTAGCAGTATAAACACGGTCCAGTCACGTGATCCGCCTTCTGGGTCAGAGCATAATTCATATTTACGATAATAGAGACAGGTAAGGGAGATAAGGCCCCGACATACGAGGACCATAACAATACCGACATGCGAACCCACCTCGGCTGGTGAAAGTACCAAAATATCGACACTGATAGACAGCTGATACTGGTTTGAATTATACACTAAAGAATTATACACTTAAGGGGGGGGGCCAATGGGTATTTTTTTGTGAAACTTGATTTCGAGATAGCAATTGACCAACAAACTAAGACCAGTGACCGAACTTTTGAGGGGGTCCCGGACCCCAACCGCCAAACGGTGCGCGCATGGCAGCCACGCCCATATTTGGTCCAAATTAGGCCCAATTTAGCCAAACACCCTGAACATGCCCAAAACCAAGGTTTATGGTGCTCTACTTGTAGCTAGTGGTCTCCTGAACTCGTATATGAAATTTCATCAAGATTGGACAAAAAATGACTGAGTTATGAGCAAAAAACCATATGCCCATATTTGGGCATACGCACCAAATTTGGTAGATTTCGTCCCATAAATTGGTCAAATATCAATATTTTTGAATGAAACTTACTTTATATGAAAGGTAAGCCTAAACTACATATTATCTGTAAGTTATAGCTTTATATCTGTTTAAATGTGGATACTAAGGCGAAAAAACCACAAAAAATGAACTAAATTGCCCATATCTCGGTTCGCGATATTTGCGGAATTGATCTCATTAAAATTGTAACAACTCAATCAGTTTTCAAAATTTTTGCATGAAATTTTCGGAATCGACTCGAAATCGCATTTCCACCTTATTTTAAATACGGATTTTTGATTAAGGCCTCCAAAAAAATTTGGCGGCCAAATTCTGAATTTTTGTGAGATAATTTTGGAATTTGGCCGCCAAATTTTTTTGGAGGCCTAAATCAAAAATCCGTATTTAAAATAAGGTGGAAATGCAATTTCGAGTCGATTCCGAAAATTTCATGCAAAAATTTTGAAAACTGATTGAGTTGTTACAATTTTAATGAGATCAATTCCGCAAATATCGCGAACCGAGATATGGGCAATTTAGTTCATTTTTTGTGGTTTTTTCGCCTTAGTATCCACATTTAAACAGATATAAAGCTATAACTTACAGATAATATGTAGTTTAGGCTTACCTTTCATATAAAGTAAGTTTCATTCAAAAATATTGATATTTGGCCAATTTATGGGCCGAAATCTACCAAATTTGGTGCGTATGCCCAAATATGGGCATATGGTTTTTGGCTCATAACTCAGTCATTTTTCGTCCAATCTTGATGAAATTTCATATACGAGTTCAGGAGACCACTAGCTACAAGTAGAGCACCATAAACCTTGGTTTTGGGCATGTTCAGGGTATTTGGCTAAATTGGGCCTAATTTGGACCAAATATGGGCGTGGCTGCCCTGCGCGCACCGTTTGGCGGTTGGGGTCCGGGACCCCCTCAAAAGTTCGGTCACTGGTCTTTGTTTGTTGGTCAACTACTATCTCGAAATCAAGTTTCACAAAAAAATATCCATTGGCCCCCCCCCTTAAAGAGATTTCAGCGTTGAAGTGATATTTTTGCTAAAAACTGTTGACGACCGACGAGTACAGTTATCTAATAATAATTGACCTCCCACGCCCAATGATCGATCGAAAATTAACTCTCTCTCTCTCTCCGTCCTCGTAACACTTCATACTTTCATAAAACAGTGCCAGCAAAAAGGAATGGAAAGCCCACATGGAAGTGAGACGCAGAACCGCACCACATGTGGAATATAATATACGAAAACACGGCCATAATAATATCATATGTAAACGAGAATTTGTTTTTCAAACAAATGGTGCTAATCGTTCTCAGTAACTAGAGATCTAGAGATCAGCAGCTAAAGATCTGGACTGTACTCAGAGCTTACTGCTGAGATAACATGTCGGCATGTGTTTTGCCAGGTACTCACTACTCGCGTACAATGGTACTATGCTATGGTATCATGAGTCTGAAGTTTTTACACTTCTAGTCGGCAGGTGGCCATCATAATATTATTATATTTATACAGTGCTACTCAGATGAGGCTAGATAACTGAGCATTTAAAGGAATTAGCACGAGTTAATAGCGCTGTTTCATGTTCTAGCATTTATTCTAGTTGTTTTTACGCTTCTGGACATCATGAGATGTACGCCATACGGACGAAGGCATAGCAGAGCATGAATTGAAGGGGGCTTGACGGCTCAGATCAAATTAAATGGCCAAAAGGAGAGCATAAATGCATCACAATGAAAGTCAATGCTTGTCATAACATTAGGACAGCTTTCGGGATTTTATGTACCACCGATTCGAGTTAAACTTAAAGCGTGACTAAATCTTGCCTTAAATTCATTCATAATTAAATTTTAGCAGAGGAGACGTTTTCTCGACAATTTTTGGAGCAAAATTATACGAATATTCAAGAAATTATCAAAACTCTCAGCATATTATGTTTCACTAATTATAGGTTTTCCTAGAAAGTGCTTACCTGACATACAGGCGCCTGTTGAGTTTTGAAGAAAGGTGCTATTGGTTGCAGATAAGACTATTATCACTTATCAGTTCTAACGTAAAACGAGTGTACACAGCACAGAGCTAAAGTCCAATAAATATATGATAATTGCTTAGATAGAGAGTTAGGCTCTGATAATAAATACTTAGAGTTAGACAACACACTCTCTTTTTGACATAACCAGTACCTTATATATTGACCAACGAGGCAGGATAGATAATATAAGGAATATAATACTGATAATGCGATTGCAGAAGAAGCTAGACATGATATCGATCAATCCTGGTATATTATATTACATGATTGGATATTGAACTGCTCGAAGAAGCAGCAATATCTTGACAAGGTAATAACATACCAGAAACTATTAAACAACGTTCTTCTGGTACCGTCAATATAGAAATGTCTCTGAAGATCCAATCAAATAAAAACGCACAGATAATGGCGATAAATATTGTACAGAGGTTTGGGTTTTTATAAAGGCGAGAGTAAATGTCAATTTTGATCATATTTATGAACGCTGCCTACAAACCTTTTAGTAAGTGAATATTTACAAGACGTGATTAGGGGCCAATTGCTTGACATCATCAAACTATCAAAGCTTTTTGATTTCAGAATCAAGACAACAATAAAATGAGAAGATGAAATTGAGTAAGAACTGACACGCTTGCTTACGTATAAGCTGTAAAACCATTTACTGTCAGAGAATATCTTCAACTACAAGAGATCTTCGTTTAAATCAATTAAAGAATTAAACGTGTTTAACGTGTTTACGAACCACCATATTATTGCGACAGCAAGAGCTCCCACATTTACTGCAAAATTGATATCCAGTTTTAAAACTAGAGATCCAATCTTAAAATAGTACATGCGAATTACCACCAAGGTACTTCTAATTTATGAGGCGGTTTATCTTAGAGCACAGTCAGATAACGCATATTATTTCTTTCACAGTTCTGCAAGGTGGTCCTTAACAGTCACGTACGGTTACGCATGAATGATTTGGGAATGAAATTCGAACTGGGCACAAACACAAAAGCGTTTCTGCTCTTCAATTGGGTGTGTTAACAGTTTCACTGTGACATAGATTATCTGAATACTCTGATATTTGTAGCGAGCTCCGCGCAGACTGACAGTATTGTAAACACTGCACTAATTAACTGTTAATCTTAAAGCATGGACATTCAATCATTCAAAGTAACTAAATAAATGCTAAAATAAAACACTGTCATTCACGTAAGCTGCCCTCCTGGTGGCCTCATGCCAGATTAGTTGGCAAGCAATCCAAATAGGATCAAATATCCCTTTCAACCCTTTGTGTATAATTTCTACCGAGATGATAGGCATACATTCAGACAGGCTTTGCTTGATGAGGTGTACGTATTGGATAAGAAGTTGAAAATGAAGGGAACCTGGCGTCCTGTGCTGCCCTGACTCTAGTTCGACAAATACTGAAGTTCGACAAATACTGAAGTTCGACAAATACCGAAGTTCGACAAATACTGAAGGTCGACAAATACTGAAGTTCGACAAATACCGAAGTTCGACGAATACTGAAGTTCGACAAATACTGAAGTTCGACAAAAGTGATCTGCCTTTAGGTGTTGCATTACAGTGCGTGTTGAACTACAGTGCGTGTTGAATTACAGCGCATGAATTGCAAAACCTAGAAATACTTTGTCCCGGAATAAATTTTGAAATTCTTTATGCGAATTACCACTAAAGTATTAACAATTTAAAACACGACATATTTTACATATGAAATAAATCCCAGCAAGTCTTCAACTTCAAGACAAGATATCAACACAACAGTGCGAAATAAGAGAAACTCACAGGATTTCTGCCGAAAAAGCATATTTTGTAAATGTGAAAACTGAAGAAGACCATGAGACGCCAGGATTGAGGATGCAAACGAAGTGGACGCCGGAACTGTGTGTTAAAATGTTTTGTCAAGCTACCTCTAGAATAATTTACAGTGCAGATATAATAATACGCGATACCTTGTCTGCCCCCGAACATCGAGATGATGAGTTAATGGTTCTAGTCATTAGAAAATTAAGTCATTATGATAAGGGACGTGATATGTATCATGGATCTAATACAAGAAGTTCGTCAAATCCGTTATCATTAAACTGATTGATTTGTAC